TTCAGCCTCCCCAGTGCTGGGATTACAGGCATGCACCGGACTTGGTTGCCAGCTCAGCATGCCTAGGAGCAGGGCAGGTGTGGCGTGTGGTGCCAGGGATTGAACCCCGGTCCCTGCGCTTACCTAAGCAGGCACTTAGTCTGCTGAGCTAGCTCACTGGCCCCTATTTTGTCCTTTTGAGACAGGGCCTCACTATACAGTTCAGGCTTGCCTTGAGCTCATTTTGTAGCCCAGGCTGGTCTCAAACTCTCAGCGATCCTTCTGCCTCAGCCTCCCACGTGCTGGGATTCAAGGCATCTACCACCATGCCCAGTGAGAAGTGTAGCACCTTTGCATGCACTTATTAGCCATTTTTGTATACTTCTGGAGAAATGTCTCTCCAATTTTTTGCCTGTTTAATTGATGTTTGTCTTTTTATCATTTGAGTATAAAAGTTCTTTATATACTTAGGTTAAATCCTTTATTTATATTAAGTCCCTTAATATAATAATACTTGCAAATATTTTCTTCTGTTCTGTGGGTTATCTTTTCTTTTTTTGTATTTAGGACAGGGTCTACAGTGTCTCACTGCATAGATCAGACTCATAGTGGTCCTCCTGTTTGCAGCCTCCCAAGTGCTGGGATTACAGGCACGGGCCACCACACCTGGGCTTGGTTGCTGACTCAGCACACCCAAGGGCAGGGCAGGTGCTGCATGCAGTACCAGGGATTGAATCCCACTGCCTGCGCTTGCCTAAGCAGGCGCTTAGTCCACTGAGCTATCTCACTGGCCCTTGCATTCTTTTTAAATGTTTGGTAGAAAACATCTGGGTCTGGGGAGTTTTCTGATTACTAACTCACCTTCATAACCTATCAATTTAGATGTTCTCTTTACTCTAGAGACTGCTTTGGAACTTTACGTGATGCTCAGAATTTGTCCATTTCATTTGTGCAATCTAATTTGCTGCACACAGTGGTTCATAATATGCCCTTATTTCTATAAGGTTGGTAGCAATCCAGATTTTAGTAGTTTAGATCTTATATAATAACAGCTGCTTCCAGCATTATGGACACGAGCGGCGACTGCCCCTTCAGCATTCATGTGCACAGGGATCACCTGAGATCTCGTTAGAAGGAGGGTTCTGTGGGGCTTTCACTTCTGTGCAGGGCCTAGCAGTGTCAAAGCTGCTGAACCAAAGATCGAAGACCATTTCTCAGTGTCCTTCTGGTTCTTGGTTCTCCTAGAAAACAGTGTTCATTGAAGTAGCTTCCGTCACTTTAAGCGTTGATTTCCCCAAGGTGTCTAGTGAATTTTTCTCCAGAATTGTGGGAGAGGAGATGTCCCTCTTCCTTTGGCTCTGCCCTCTCTGACATATGTCCTTTCCTCTCAGTGGACAGCTCTGTGAGATCCCTCCCCGCCCACCTGCTCCCAAGAACCCCTGCGATGGGACCGAGTGCCAGAATGGGGCCAACTGCGTTGACCAGGGCAGCCAGCCGGTGTGCCAGTGCCTCCCAGGCTTCAGTGGTCCTGAGTGTGAGAAGCTGCTCAGTGTCAACTTTGTGGACCGTGACACTTACCTACAGTTCACTGACTTGCAAAACTGGCCACGGGCCAACATCACACTACAGGTGTGTGCCAGGGGCCTGGTCACAAAATAGAAGTGGGGAACAGAGCCCCTGGCCTTGGTCAGAGTATCAGGTTGCAAGCCTGCCTTGGGGAAATGGGAGGAACCAGTGTTAGGGTTCCTTCTGGGGCTCAGGATCTCAGCCTGAACCAGTTTAAGCATAACTAGAAAAATTGAACCCCACACCAGGGCAGGGATAGATGTGGTCGCATGGGTGATGGGATGCAGAAAGCTAAAGGATCCAGGATCCTTTCCCCCATCTCTCATCTCAACTGTTCCTCACCTTCTGTCTTCAACCCCAAGTTTGTTTTGCATGGCCAGAATGTGTCCAGATTTAATTTGGGGCTTATGACTTTAACCAGATTCCTGGCATCCCTTAGATTGTCCCTTTCATATCTTCAAGTCCATCTCAGAACATCATCATGTTGAGAATAAAACACAAGCCCCATCTCAACACTCATAAAGCATATGGATATTTTGCTAAATATGTGTTGAAGAAGGGAGACTAGAGTGGATAGTACACACCACCCAATAAAAACTGTCAACCCCTCTTTAGTGAGCTCGCTCTCTCCCAAATTCCATATCCTTATCCCAAACGCAACATCTTTCTTCCTGCCTTTCTTTGTCCTTGTCACCCTTTAGCCTCTGAATACTTACTCTGCTCTATTGGCCACATCACCTCTTCAGAATCCTGTCCACTAATATTGTCTACACAGCCAGACAACAACTAGAGTAACTGTATGACAGAACAAAACTCACTAAAATGGCAGATGTGGTGGTGCATGCCTGTAATCCCAGCACTCAGGAAGCTGAGGCAGGAGGGTTACCTTGAGTTTGAGGACAGCCTGGACTGTATACTGAGACCCTACCACAAAAAAGCCAAACCAAGCTAATCTAACCAAATCAAAACAAAAATGTCACTAAAACCCCAACTATCACTGCCTAGGTCCATCCTTGGTTTTATCCTGATATCCTCACAAGTCCACTGTCAGACTGAAGGGGGTTATTCCTTCCCAACTCTAATTGGACAATGGTCAAAAGTCTCGGGGAAGCTGTCTGATTGGCTGGCTTCAGTCACATGCCCACCGCTGGACCAACCACTTGGTCCAGGGAGTGGTCCAGCTTGGGCCTTCTGCCTACCTCTATGGGCTGGAGGATTAGGGTCTTTACCAAAAGTGGGAAGCGGGACAACCAGGGGGGTATTCTCTCAAACAAAAAAATCCACCTCCAATAACAGTTACTGCTTCCTGAGTGGCTCTTTTCAGGTTAGACATTGCTGGCTTGGGACAACCTTCTTAAACCTGTTCTCTCTGTGGTCCCACCCTGGGTAGCTGACTCCCTGAGGCCCATACAAGGGGCTCCCCACCAGTGCCAGGTGGTAGGCCTGGTCCCCCTCTTTTGTCCCTGCACAGATCCCCAAGGCTCTTGCCTGTTCTGCTGGCACATACTTTCCAGGCCTTAGATGGATTGTCCACCTCCCTGCTTGACCCTGGTCAGGCCGGCACAGCTGCCAGCCTTGGTGTGTGCCCCTACATGTTGGTACCTGGGGAGGCTGGGCGGGCGCAGACGCTGCCGCTGCAGCACACAGTGTTGTTCTTTCAGTCTCTGTTCCACTTACCTACTGTGCTGCTGCTGAAAGGGGCAGGTTGGGAGAGAAGGTACCTTTGCCTGTCAGGTCTCCACAGCAGAGGACAACGGGATTCTGCTGTACAACGGTGACAGTGACCATATTGCAGTGGAGCTGTACCAGGGCCATGTGCGTGTCAGCTACGATCCAGGCAGCTACCCCAGTTCTGCCATCTACAGGTACGGCTCCCTCAGCCCACCTGTACTCTTGGGGTGGGGTAGACAGGGTGGATCTCCTGGGCTGAGTACAGGTGGCGGTGGGGACGGCTAGCTTCCCGAGCAGCAAGGACGCATGAAGCACTAGGTCCAGCCCCATGCTGGGTCTGGGGCTCCCCGAGGTCTGAGCTGCAGTCCTTCCTTCCCCATTCCTTGCTCAGCTCAGAGGAGGCTTCTGGATGAGGGGCTCTTCCCCCAAACTTTTCGGCATTCCCCTGAGGGAACTGAGAGGCATGTGGCTGTAGTACACTTACCCTGCAGTCTTCTCCCTAGGGGATTCTGTCCCCGGAGAAGCAACTGCTGGGACGGTACCCTTTCTGGGGAGGTGTCTTGCCATGAACGATATGAACTGAAGCCCACTCCCTGGGGTGGGGGCACCCCATCTCCTTCCAGTGCTGAGATGATCAATGATGGGCAGTTCCACACTGTTGAACTGGTCACCTTTGACCAGATGGTGAACCTCTCCATCGATGGTGGCAGTCCCATGACTATGGACAACTTCGGCAAACACTACACACTCAACAGTGAGGCACCCCTCTATGTGGGAGGTGAGGACTTGGCTGGGTGGAGCAGACGGCTGTCTCCTCAGGGAACGGAGACTGACTGGCTCTGAGGGAGGTGCCTTTTGCTCACTGGCTTATGCTCAGGACACTGCAATTGCAGGGGAAGCACCAAGGGCCAAGGGGCTGACCTAGTGAGTGGCCCAGCTGCTGGAGGATTGGTCTCTGCTACCTGGACCTCAGGCTGTGGTCTGGCCAGCCCAGTCTAAGAAGAATGTCAGCCTCGATTAGGGCCTGAGGCTTTCCTAGCTGTCTCCATACCACTGGCACCTTTCTTCTTGGCTCTTGGCTGAAAGAGGCTCCTGAGTTGCTCCTGAGTTCCAGTCTTGCGCCCTTGGAGCCCAGGGAAGCTTCAAGAGACTCAGTACGGCATCTCCACTTCATCTGGAGACTGCCCTCTAGTCTATGAGCATTGCAGACCCCTGCCTACCACCTACAGACATTTCTTGGTTGGGCAGAGGCAGGCCTGGGGTGGGGGCTGTTTTTTTGTTTTTGTTTTTTTGTGGAACCAGGGATTGAACTCAGGCCCTTGCGCTTGCCAGGGAAGCCCTTACTTTACTGAGCCATCTCTGTGGCCCTGGTTGGGGCTATTTTAGCGAGAGGTGTGTGAAAGCTGGGACTCCTGGTTCTGATCATAGCTCTGTGCTCATTTTATTTTTTTGGTACCGGGGATCAAACTTGGGGCCTTGCGCTTGCTAGGCAGGCACTTATGCTGCGGCGCTATATCCCAGGCCCCATAACTGTCTTTACTAGCGGAGCAAGTTCAGGCAAGTTGTGAGCATTTTCAGATGGGGTTGGTTTAGCAGTCTCAACTCAGAGGCTTGCTGGAAAGTGATGCACGCAGGAGTGGTAACAAAGTGCCCCCCCAAGCTCTCCTCGTGGCCTAGGCTCTTTGCTTTGGCTGGAGTTTCCAGGGGTAAAAGCTGGTATTCCAGAAAGAAAGAAGGAGCCTTAGGTAAGGCTAGCCTGACTCTAGGGACAGGTGCCCCCGATCCCATTTGTTCTCTGGCCATGCCATGCCTGATACTCCAGCTCTGACCCTACAGGAAGTAGCCTTCCCATGTGTTCTGGGAAAGGAGTCTGGCCCTCCAGTATGGCAGA